AACCATTTTCATTTCCATAGGCTATGATGGAAAAATCAATCTTGCCTACATGTGAAAGAGCATGTTAAAAATAATATTTAAATGATATACATTTGACTATATCTAATATTGGTTCAACAAGATTAGTAACAAGTCGAAAAACATAAGGTAGACCTTCTCTAATGGTATATTAAAGTGAATGCTCAAAGGAAAATGAGTATGAAATCAAAAGTCAATAAGATGCATGCAAGAATAAACTAAAAACCGCAATTACTTCCTTACTTTGTAATATTATCATATTTTCGTTTATATATTTCTCCAGACCATTGTACGGTCATTAGAACATCGGTACTTTACTAGTCACAACATTCGATGCCACTGCTGATTTTTGCACATCAAACAATTTCACATGTAAGATGCAAGATTTGAATAAGGGTAACAAGAAAAGAGACAAGCCCTGAGAAAAAGATGAAGGTCCCCCACCCTCTTTATCCTCCTACATGTTCTGCCTTGGGGTCTTATGATTGTGGATGGACCACTCACAACTGATGAAAAGAGCAGGCAGAAATTGATATTTAAGAAAATTCAGTTCCATTTTCTTTCGCAGAATTACTCGAAAGTCTCTGGGGTTCTTACTCGGAAAAAGTAAATGGTCAAAGAGTTTCAAAGAGTTAAACAGGAGTCTAATGAATGGTCGAAAATAATTCATAAAACAGTATGTAAATATATTATAAAAACTAAACAAATATAAGTTAATTTTAATAAGTATAAATTCCAATCTATAACCAAAAGTTCCAGTTCTACTATATCAGCTATATTTGTAAGTTGAACACCATAGCATGGTACATCTCAAAGTTGAATTGTTTAAATCAATTTTCAAGCCGATTTTCAGTTTCTTTTTGTGTAAACTGGCCAGTCTGGTTCAATTCTCGAAATATTAGTTACTATAGAGAATTAACTAGTAGGAAAATCTGTCATAGTAACATCTTTCTCCTGCTGAAGGATCCCTGATTTTAGTTCTCTGATACATAAGCAAGTATCAAGGATAGAAACTAGAACACAATTTGAAAGAATTCATTCTTTCTTTCCTTCTTCTTTTTTTTTCCTGAACAAAGTTTAGAATAAATATTTCTTGAAGTTGCAAAAAATGGAATAATTTTATTGCAATCATAAGAACAAATTAATGATTCTAATCCGGAATAAATATGAAAGAATATTATGTTACCTTGTACCAAAAAACTAAATTCTTGCAATCAATAGTTATAACCATTTCTTATGGATTCAAGTATCTGAACAGCCTCAGCCATGCTTGGTCTTCTTGAAGGAACTTCAGAAGTACATATCAACCCTAACTTCATGACCTGAATAAGCTCATTTTCGGCAAATCCTCTCAACCTTCTGTCGAAACAATTCAAAGCAGAACCACTCTCGACCAAACTTCTAACATATTCACACAAAATCACAACCTCATTTGCCGAAGGACTTTCCACCGGCTTCCTCCCTGTAACCAACTCCAGCAGAATAACCCCAAGACTATAAACGTCACATTTTTCACTGATCCTTGAACTTTGTGCCAACTCAGGTGCAATATATCCAACTGCACTGTGGATATGTGTCAAACCATAATTGTCTAGCAAAGGAAGCAACTTCCCCAAACCGTAATCTGATAGTTTGGCATTGTAGTTTTCATCCAGTAGTATATTAGTAGATTTGACGTTGAGATGAAGAACCCGAGGTTTGCAGTCATGGTGAAGGTACGCTAGTGCTCTGGCAGTCCCTAATGCTATCTGAAACCTTCTTGACCAATTCAATTCTGGATTACCAACACCAGTGCTGGTCCCAGGATAATTAACACCGTGCAAGTTATCATACAGGTTTCCATTCGAGACAAATTCAGATAAAATTAACTGCATACTAGATGACCAATAATAACCTTGAAAAGCAACAAGATTGGGGTGTTGAAGATTCGCCAAATGTCCAATTTCATGCTCGAACTCATCTTGGTTCCTGATTCTTCCCAGAGTCTCAAGTTTCTTCACAGCAATTGATATTCCGCCTTCAAAGGTAGTTTTATACACTGTTCCAATAGAGCCTCCACCGATTAGGCATTCCCTGTCAAGCAACGCTTTGGTGCCAGTTTCCCAGTCCTCATACTTTGAAGGCAAGCTTTTACTGAAGAGGACTAATTTTCCAATGATGACATTAGATTCTGTTGAAGCTAACGGGGTGCTTTCTACAATCATGGTCTCATCTTCTCTTCTTCTCCTCCGAGCCTTCATGTTGATGATGGTTATCAAACAAACGCCTGTAACAATCAAAGCAGCAGCAACTATAGCAACAATTGTTGAAACACTCAACTTTGGTTTCCGTTCTGTGCCAGAACAAGAGTTTTCTAATGGAGCACCACAAAGACCTTGATTGTGAAAAAAGGCTGAGAATCCAAACTGCTGGATGCTAGGAATAGAAGGGATAGCACCAGAAAGGTTGTTGTAAGAAATGTTGAAATGAGTTAAATTTTTGAGATTCCCAAATGTCAAAGGGATGGGTCCGGATAGAAAGTTTTCCGACAAATCCAAATAATGCAGGTTAGATAAATTTCCAATGGTTGTAGGTATGCTTCCGTTGAACTGGTTATTATGCAGGTCGAGAATTTCAAGGGATGTTATGTTCTGGAGGTTCTGCGGAACGCCTCCTGCTAAAGAATTGCCAGAAACATCTCTGCATAATACATGTATAGTTTCATCAGTTTAATCGTAAAAAAATGTTGACATGAACACAAAAGGCAGGAGATGGTTATTGAACTCACAGCTCGAGAAGATACTGGCAATTGCTTATCTCTTCTGGGATTTCACCACTGAGTTTGAGATTGTGCAAATCCAGAACTTCAAGCCATTCAATACTCCCAAATGCCAAAGGAATTGTTCCGTCAATCGAGTTATTTGCTAATCGAATGAACACAAGACCCTTCAAGTCAGCAATTCCAACTGGTATACTTCCATCAAGCCTGTTAAACCCCAAATCTAAATACTTCAGGCGACTGCATTCTGTGATGCCAGATGGAATGTTTCCATTGAAATCATTCCCAGAAACATCAAAAACTTCCAGTCTGCTACTGCAAGTTCCAATGCCCGGAATCTCTCCTTGGAAC